TTATTAATATAACATATTAAGATGCTATATGTATGTCATAATCAGTCTGGTCATTATGAATGATTTTACTGTATCTGATGCTTCAGTCTCTAGAGGAGAGGAACAGGAATCCAGCTCAACCTTTGCATGACTTGTGTTAGCTCTACACACCTCTTCCTCCCCCCTTTATGTCTCTCCCTCTCTCCCAAGTCCCCCCCACACTCCCTATCCTCCCAGTTTCCTGGCAGTAGACAACCAAATAAATGTGGGCTAACAGTCTTTGGGGGGCTAGAACAACCCTTTTGGTCTAATGAGGTGATGCAGTCCTGTTCTCTTACTCTAGCTTTCCTTACGTTGTGTGTGTCTTGGGCAATTGCACAGTGTCCTGTCTAACATCCTGTCCCCTTTTTTTTTTTTTTTTTTGCTTTGCCCTCCTTCTTTTAAAAGGTCTGGGTAAGCACTGATAGGCTTGCAGGGAATAAAACCTGCAGCTTGGGAGAACAGAGGGACATTTGGGAACGAGATGGCGAGAGGGGCGGCAGTCGCATACCTTCTTGGAGTGCTGCTCCTGGCGCAGTTGAAGCCCTCGCTGCAAGGAGGTGGGTCATCTCTAGTGCATGCATCACCTGTGTGAACAGGTAGCATTATTGTTTTACATTACTGGCATGTATTTTATGTGCACATGGATGCAGTGAGTAGGGTGTAGGTAGTCCTTCTTGTCATGTGGAAGGTTTGCAACAAGTAATTTCTGTTGAGAATAATAATATAATGCACTATGATAAACAAAGCTTAGATTACAACAGTGGCCTTTGTAGATATAATATATTTTCATTCATTTTCAACATTCAACTAGAGAATTACCCACTTACTCCCAAATTACAAGGTGAAATATTTTTTGTGGCATTTATAGTTGAAATATATGGTATATTGTCCAATTATAATAATAGCACATATAGCATGTAGCTGGTCTTTCTGTAAATATAGATTCTCTTAAATGTGAGGGTATTTTTCATCTTCCCTTTCTTAAGAGAGAGCCACATGTTCATAGATAGAGCTGTTAATGAGGTGTGATGGCTAATTAGAAGCTTTCACTGCTGCGGTCTCCTGACCTCATCCCAGCACTGTTTTATAATGTTGTAGTGCAGGGTGAATGTTGGTAACCCAGCCTGACTAAAATCCTGCTATCTAATAAAAGTGGGTCAAATGGGTACTCAAGTTTCAATCTATATGGACTATAGATGTAGTTCTTTATAATCAGGATGAGCTAAGATCAAATCTTTCAGAATTCACAATGTCATTATAAATGGCATCTATGGGTTTGTTTTAAGGAAAGGAGGAGGGGAAAGGCTAAGACTTGAGCTTTAATTGATTGTGTTAAAAGATTAATTTATGTAAAATAACGAACACATTTCATTTAGTGGGCTTTTTGGAAGTTTTCTCATTCTAACATTAATGTTTTACTGCAGTCATCAAAATACAGTGAATGCTATTTTAAGCTTTTCTTACAATACAGCAAATAGCTGCAATGATTATGTTCTGGCAGACTCTGCCCCGAGTGTGGAGAACTGAATGATCAAACTGCACAGTTATTTACTGTGTTGTTGGTGTAATGTGTTCAGGATTACTACAACATCAGTTACTCACATTCTTCAGGAATCCCTACAGGCTTCCTCTCACATCTGGACATTTGGATGTTTGGAAATGTTTCCTTATATAGTTGTTGGCTTTCTGTGTTTCTATTTTTGTCTGTTATGATTTGTGAAATAAAACTTGGGTGCATAACGTGATAATGATGATATAAAGAATGCCTTTTGAATGAGGTAATGTTTTACAAAAAATTGAGAATTGTAGATTGTTGAGATGGTGTTTTGATTTGATAATTGGATTTTGTATTAATTTTGTAAAATTTATCAGATGATTCATAAATTCTATAAACAAGTCAGCATTTAAAAGTGAATAAACACATAAGACTTCTTGCCAACTGTTGCCATTTCCTGAATTGGCTTGATTAAACCAGGCATTTACATACCGGCTGGAGGAGCAGGAGGAGCTGGACTTGGCACCGGTGTCAGTCCTGGAACCGGCTTTGGTCCTGGAGGGGCGGGGACAGGATATGGACCAGGAGGAGCTGGTGCTGGTTTGGGGGGTCTTGGTCCTGTAACTGGAGGAGGTAAAACATTTCATAATTACTGCCACTCAAAGATTGTAAATAATTGCCTTATCCCCAAGCACCTTCAATGCTCACACTTGCACTACGTTTTATGCCCCCTGTATGGGACTAGGTGGAGTTGGACCAGGGGGTGTTGGCCCAGGTACTGCTGGTGGTGTGGGAGGTTTCATTCCAGGATCCTATGGACCAGGTGCTGGAGCTGGTAAGTGGAAAATAATGTGTTGTCTGAAAATGCTCTGTTTTGGCTGGCTGGAAAGCCTGTGCAATGATTTGATTTTGTGTGACAGGTGGAGTAGGGCCTGGTGGCGTTGGACCTGGTGGAGTGGGGCCTGGTGGAATAGGGCCTGGTGGAATAGGGCCTGGTGGAATAGGGCCTGGTGGAGTGGGACCTGGAGGAATAGGGCCTGGAGGAATAGGGCCTGGTGGAGTGGGACCTGGAGGAATAGGGCCTGGTGGAGTGGGACCTGGAGGAATAGGGCCTGGTGGAATAGGGCCTGGTGGAGTGGGACCTGGAGGAGTAGGACCTGGTGGGGTGGGACCTGGTGGTGGAGGAGTCAGACCTGGAACCTATGGACCAGGTAAGACTGGATAACAGTTACTTTTGCACCAACAACAGAAACGTTTTTATTTATGCAGGGAAGCCCCACTGAAATTTAGAATCAAATGTTAGTCAACCTGGCACTGTGCAAATTAAGAGGAGCAGGATTCAACCACAGACATACCATTATTTCATTTCCTCATTAACTCAATCTAATACACCATTGTTGAGGGGACCACACACCCTCATGTGCAAACACACATTTGGTGCAGTGATAACAACTAATGCATTAGGCATGGCAGCCCCGCGATAAAGGACGGAAGTCATCACATCACTCACAATAACAGATTTAGTGAGGAATTTCACTCCACTTTGTTTTTCATCCTGCGCACATGTGCGTTGACTTTACAGGACGAATGTTATTGGTGATAGCATCAAAAACATACTGGGGGTTATGTTCTGGCTTTGTGGAAGTATTCAACTTTGTCCAACCATTTTGTTAAGAAAATAGGTCTTAAAGCACAGGATTTTGTGTTTTTAGAATAACTCATTATCAAAAACGACAGCTTCATCATAGTTTGTTTACATTACTGAGGGGGCCAGATGTAGAAGAAATTAATTTGATTTTACTACACTTCTGAATGCTTGAATGTTTTTAGATAACAATAAATTAATCTGATAGGGTTTTGTTCTTTCTTCTGTCTTCTGTCTATTATGCATTTCTAGTAATACACACACACTAATAGTTAGGATTGGGTGGTGAAATATTTCTTTCAGAACCGTATGGTTGATAAACTGCACCGCCTTTAGAGGTTGGTTGTTAATTTGACCCCTAAATGTCAAGTAATAGCTTTTGGTTTAAATGTCCCTCAGGTGGAGTTGGTACAGGACAATACCCCGGTGGAGTCAAACCTTTTAAAACAGGTTAGTTAGTATAACAACATGCATTTAGGTTTACTTTAAAACTCAATCAACTGTTGTTTGCGTCTCCAGGACGAGGTGTTGGACCAGGCGGAACAGGCTTTGGACCTGGAGGTTCAGGAGCTGGACTCGGAGGGGGAGGGGTGCGACCAGGTGGGGCGGGAGTTGGACCAGGTGGAACTGGTTTTGGACCAGGTGGGGCAGGAGTTGGACCAGGTGGAACTGGTTTTGGACCAGGTGGGGCAGGAGTTGGCCCAGGTGGAACTGGTTTTGGACCTGGTGGGGCAGGAGTTGGCCCAGGTGGAACAGGTTTTGGACCAGGTGGGGCAGGAATTGGACCAGGTGGAACCGGTTTTGGACCTGGTGGGGCAGGAGTTGGACCAGGTGGAACTGGTTTTGGACCTGGTGGAGCAGGAGTTGGACCAGGTGGAACGGGTTTTGGACCAGGTGGAACCGGTTTTGGACCAAGTGGAACTGGTTTTGGACCAGGTGGGGCAGGAGTTGGACCAGGTGGAACTGGTTTTGGACCAGGTGGAACTGGTTTTGGACCAGGTGGGGCAGGAGTTGGACCAGGTGGAGCAGGAGTTGGACCTGGTGGAACCGGTTTTGGACCAGGTGGGGCAGGAGTTGGACCAGGTGGAACAGGAGTTGGGCCAGGTGGTGCAGGAGTTGGACCTGGTGGAACTGGTTTTGGACCAGGTGGAGCAGGAGTTGGACCAGGAGGTGCAGGAGTTGGACCAGGCGGAACTGGTTTTGGACCAGGTGGGGCAGGAGTTGGACCTGGAGGAGCAGGAGCTGGACCAGGAGGTACAAACCCATAGAAAGGACTAGGATGTAAAATAAATGTATTAGTTGAACCACATTAGATACTTTTTAGTTGGTGTTTGTCCCATTTTTTTCTCTTCTTCTTTATAAATATTTCAGCTATACCACAGACTGGAACCACAGGAGTGGGGCCTGGGGGGAAAACCGGACCTAAGACCTCAAAACAAGTTCCAGGTAAATCCTAGGCAAAAAGAGTGTCACCAGGAGGTGCCATTAATAATGATGTTTAAGTTGGATGTTGACACATCAATTTGTTGTGGCACAGGGGTGGGAGTGCCAGGACTTTACCAAGGAGGTTATGTTCCAGGTCAGGGTAAGTTCAGGCAAATTTAGGAAACAACTGTTCCCTGCAAAAATTTTGTGAAATGATTAGCAGTAACTTACTCATTTTGTCTGAATAGGTTTTGGAGGTCGTGGTGTTTTACCTGGAGTAGTCACTGGATCTGGACTTGGTACTCAGAGTGGTCAGTAGTATAAAAGTAGAGCATAACAAATAAAGAAATTTGTGCAAATAGCATAATTTTTTTTTTTTTTAATGAAATTTTGAATCTATTACACTCACAGGATCTGGAGTGCTTGGCCAAGGGGGAGCAGGGCCAGGCACTGGAAGTAAGTAATACAGATTCAGTGTGTGTGTGTGTGTGTGTGTGTGTGTGTGTGTGTGTGTGTGTGTGTGTGTGTGTATATATATATATATATATATATACACACACACACATGTATTTGTGTGTATACATATATATAATTATTTATCATTCTCATACAGATGGTCGAGGTCAGCCTTTACCTGGAGTGTTTCGTGGTTACCCTCTGATTTCACCTAAAACAGGTAAAACACATTTATAAGAATATAAAAAGCATATCATTAATAAAAAAAATATCTGTAGGTGCAGGAAAATCAAAAAAGGCGGGTAAAGCAGCAGCAAAATACGGTATGGATATTATTTGAGATACAAATATTGTCTATATAATGAGAAAATACCTTAGATGAATATCTTGTCCTAAGGTGGAGTTGGAGGACCAGGTGGTTCAGGCACCCTTGGTCAGGGTGGTGCACTGGGTGGGGCAGGATTTGGAGGTGGAACTGGACCTGGGGGTGGAGTAGGACCTGGAACAGGATTAAGTAAGTCTACTCTTTAGAGACCAATATTATTAATACATTTAAATACTTTGGATGTATAGAGAAACTTTCATCTACTTACAGTATGTGTTAAACCATCTAGGTCAGCAAGGAGGAGCTGGAACCAGTTTTGGGCCTGGGGGAGGAGTTGGTCCAGGTGGTGGAGTTGGGCCTGGTGGTGCTGGTACCGGCTTTAGGCCTGGCGGAGTCGGACCTGGAGGAGCTGGTACTGGCTTTGGACCTGGTGGAGTTGGCCCTGGTGGAGCTGGTACTGGCTTTGGACCTGGTGGAGTCGGACCTGGTGGAGTCGGCCCTGGTGGAGCTGGTGCCGGCTTTGGACCTGGTGGAGGGGTCGGCCCAGGTGGAGCTGGTACTGGCTTTGGACCTGGTGGAGTCGGCCCTGGTGGAGCTGGTACTGGCTTTGGACCTGGTGGAGGGGTCGGCCCAGGTGGAGCTGGTACTGGCTTTGGACCTGGTGGAGTCGGCCCTGGTGGAGCTGGTACTGGCTTTGGACCTGGTGGAGTCGGCCCTGGTGGAGCTGGTACTGGCTTTGGACCTGGTGGAGTCGGCCCTGGTGGAGCTGGTACTGGCTTTGGACCTGGTGGAGGGGTCGGCCCAGGTGGAGCTGGTACTGGCTTTGGACCTGGTGGCGTTGGTCCTGGTGGAGCTGGTATTGGCTTTGGACCTGGTGGAGTCGGCCCTGGTGGAGCTGGTACCGGCTTTGGACCTGGTGGTGCTGGTACCGGTTTTGGACCTGGAGGGACCAGATCGCAAGGTAAACAGAGGAAAAATGACTGTTTAATGTCCTATTAAATGTTTCTTTATTGGTGGCATGCTTGATTTTTCAGGATATGATGCCAATGCAAAAGCGCGTAAATATGGTAATAAATTCGTAATTTAAAAACTATGAATTTAAGAAAAAAATCTTGAAGTTTATATATTTTGACAGGCATGTTGAGCGGCACTCTGGGAGGACCTGCAGGTGCTGGTACCGGTGTTGGTCCTAGTGGAGGAGTCGGCCCTGGTGGAGCTGGCACTGGCTTTGGGCCAGGGGCAGGAGTTCGGCCAGGTGGAGCTGGTACCGGCTTTGGTCCTGGTGGAGGTGTTGGGCCAGGTGGAGCTGGTACTGGCTTTGGTCCTGGTGGCGGAGTTGGTCCTGGTGGAGCTGGTACTGGCTTTGGTCCTGGTGGAGGAGTTGGTCCTGGTGGAGCTGGTACTGGCTTTGGTCCTGGTGGAGGAGTTGGTCCTGGTGGTGCCGGTACTGGCTTTGGTCCTGGTGGAGGAGTTGGTCCTGGTGGAGCTGGTACTGGTTTTGGATCTGGTGGTGCCGGTACTGGCTTTGGGCCTGGTGGAGGAGTTGGACCTGGTGGTGCTGGTACCGGTTTTGGACCTGGTGGAGGAGTTGGGCCTGGTGGTGCTGGTATTGGTGTTGGTCCTGGTGGTGCTGGCTTCGGGCCTGGTGCAGGAGTTGGGCCTGGTGGTGCTGGTATTGGTGTTGGTCCTGGTGGTGCTGGCTTTGGGCCTGGTGCAGGAGTTGGGCCTGGTGGTGCTGGTACTGGCTTTGGACCTGGAGGGACCAGATCACAAGGTAAATACCCATAATAGGGGGGAAATATGACTATGTTGTATGTCTGTTTAAATGTTTCTTTATTGGTGACATGTGTAATTTTTCAGGATATGATGCCAATGCAAAAGCCCGTAAATATGGTAAGAAATATGAAATTCAATAAATATTCACTTAAGAAAAAAATCTTAGTGTATCTGTTTTGAAAGGCATGTTAAGCGGTACTTTGGGAGGACCTGGTGGTGCTGGTACTGGTGTCGGTCCTGGTGGAACCGGCACCGGGTTTGGACCAGGGGGAGCCGTTCGACCTGGTGGAGCTGGTACCGGCTTTGGACCTGGTGGTACTAGTACTGGTGTTGGTCCTGGTGGTGTTGGAACTGGTTTTGGACCTGGTGGAGCCGGCGTCGGTTTTGGACCTGGTGGAGCTGGTACCGGCTTTGGACCTGGTGGAGCTGGTACTGGCTTTGGACCTGGAGGTGCTGGTACCAGTGGTGGTCCTGGGGGAGCTGGAACTGGCTTTGGACCTGGTGGAGCTGGAACTGGCTTTGGACCTGGTGGAGCTGGAGCTGGCTTTGGACCTGGTGGAGCTGGTACCGGCTTTGGACCTGGTGGAGCTGGTACAGGTTTTGGACCCGGTGGAGCTGGTACCGGTTTTGGACCTGGTGGAGCTGGTACTGGTTTTGGACCCGGTGGAGCTGGTACCGGTTTTGGACCTGGTGGAGCTGGTACTGGTTTTGGACCCGGTGGAGCTGCTACCGGATTTGGACCTGGTGGAGGAGTCGGTGCTGGTGGCGCTGGTTATGGACCTGGAGGTGAAACCTTTATTAGTATTTCATCAATATAGTATTCAGTATATTATAATATATTTTAATTTATTATTGTCATCATGTTATGAAATCTAATATAATAATGTAAATAGTATTTGTACATAATCGGAACACTTGAAGATTTTAACTGTCTGTATCCTGCAGGTTATGCTGGTGCCAAAGCGCGTAAATATGGTGAGTAAATAGGTTATAGGTTATTTAACCTATATATGATGCAAAACTGTCTTCTGCTAGTTTTAAAGCTTTAACAAAAAAGTTTTCTTTTCCAATTACATTTCCTTTGTAAGGACTACCAGGCGGAGCTGGGGGTGTTCTGGGTACAGGATCTGCCGGGTTTGGAGTTGGAGGAGGTATTCCAGGGCGAAGTGTTGGAATAACAACAGGTGGAGGTGCTGGACTGGGGACTGCTGGAGTACCTGGTTCTGGAGGTGTGGGGACTGGAGGATTTAGTCCTGGTGGTGCTGGAGGTACGACAATATTTGTATGATTATGCAATATGAACCTCTCAATTAACTAAATAAAAGAAAACATCCTATTGATGTTACTGGTCTGTACTGTACTGATGTATTGATTGTAACAGGATTTGGACCTGGTGGATTTGGACCTGGTGGATTTGGACCTGGCGGAGCCGTGGGGACAGGATTTGGACCAGCTGGATATGGGCCAGGTCAAAATTCTAAATATTGAGCAACAGTCTAAAAAGCATATTTCTATCTAAAGCCTTTACCCTCTCTTTCAGGATATGGGACTGGACAGAAGCCATACAAATATAGTAAGAATATTAACCCATTTCATTTTTAAATGATCTCATAAAGGCAATAATGACTGATGTTACACCTCATCTTACAGCTCCAGGTGCAGGGGGTGATGGAGTCCTAGGAGCAGAAACAGGACGGGGTGGTCAGTAATTTCTTACATTCCTTAAGTTGGTACACTGTGGTCATTGCTTGAAAACAAATCTCAATATTGGTTGAGCAGAATTCAAATATCGCCCTCTACAGGTTTCTAGAAGCACACATTCCTGAATTAGTATAAATTATACCTGAACTTTGGATGAACATGTACCAAGATTTGAATATTTTTCTTTATTTGCATACAATGACACAAAAACCCAGGATCAAAAAACTGGATCAAAAACCCAGAAATACTGAATGAAACAGGCAATATTTTGTACATTGTACTAAAAATGGTTTTGTGATAACTCAGCCGTGGTTGTTTTTCAGGACAGCCTAGAGGGACTCTGCCTGGTGGGAGGACAGGCATTGCAGGAGCTCCTAATGCAAATGGGACAGGAGTGTCAGAGAATGGCACCAGCCCAATCAGTGGAACAGGAACAACAGGTATGCTGTTTTATTTGCCTTTATGATTACATTGCTGTGGGATTTATTATGCAACATAAAGGAAGTACCTCAAATAATAATAATGTAAAAATGAGTATATCTGCAGTAATAGGTGAATCACGGGATGGACTTGGAGTAGCAGGTGTCACAACCTCCCCAACATCAGAAGGTATCTGAATAACAGCACTTGTTTATTCTTTAAGAATTATAAAAATAAGTTCTAAACACATCATTTTTTTTCTTAAAGTGCATGCGGGTACGAGAGGAAGAGATGGAAAAGACAGTGACGGAGGTAAGTGTTGCTGAGGAGTTTTTGATACTATTAATTTGTAGGCATTTCCTGTTTTGATTTGATTAATATGTGTATATATGTGACCTTTATTTACTTCATACAGTAACGTTCACAGTTGATTTTGAATTTGTTTCATTGCAGGTGAGATTGGTGTGGGGAGTGTAATTGAGGGGTCTGGAGGTTCTTCAGTGGAAGGTGTGTTTACACTGACAAGTCTAAACCTTGATTTATGTGGACAGTTAATTTAAGTCAACTACTGATGCAAACATTTATTTATTTTTACTTGGTTGTTTTACTATTGAAAAAACTTGAAAAAATGCAACATGACTATCTAATCGGGGTAGGTGTGACTGGAGGACCTGTAGGAGGAGAGGAAGATGGTCTAATTGCAACAGGAATTCCGATACTCGCTGCAAAACCAGGTACATATTTTTTATGTCACGGTGAACGAGCATTACTCACTGAACTATTTGAGATATCTATTTTCTTCATAAAACAGACCTCAATGGGACATCAGTACCAGGTGAGGGGCAACAAATAACATGGATTAACTGACTTAACTGACTAGTTTTATATTGATAGCACTACTGTATCTCCCTCATTCTTTCAGGGGGTATCGGTGCAACAGCTGGTAGGTATTTAATATCCCTTTATGTAACTTTTAGAAATGTAATGTTTCTACATTAAATATATACACCCAGCATTAATAAGTATCTTAAACAATTTTTATTATTTTCCTTTTTTTACAGTTGAAGGTGGAATTGTGCAACCAGGTGGTTTGTGAAATCTCTCAGTGATTTTCTTGACAATACAAAAATAATAGATATTTTAAAAGAGAGGTGAGCAATAAACACAAATGATCAATTATGTGACTGTTGAAGATGTGCAACATTTGAATTTCTAGTATAAGGTTTATAGAATATTTTTAAAAAGATGTAAAAAGAGCTGACAGAAAGAGCTGAAAAAATCTAAGTAAGTGGATAAGTTATATTTTGGGGTAATATTGCAATAATTTCACATTTATCAAATACATCAACCTTAATTAACATATTTTAAGAAATGTTTTAACACATTTTTGTTGAACTGACATAATATCATCTGAATATCATTATCAGGATAAAGTATCCATTTTGGTCACCCATATTTAAAATACAAATTGTATATTAATATAGACAAATGAGAAGTTGTTTGCATTTTAGGTTCAAGTAATGATACAACTAGTGTACTACCTGGAGCCAAGCCCCTCAAACCTCCAGGTGAGAAAAAAAAAAAAGTTCTTAAGGCCATGACATAACTGGTAACTGAAACAACCCAGTAAAATTTACCTGTTAAGATACTGTAATATAAACCTTCCTATATCATTTCTACTTCCAACATGTACAGGGGTTCCCAGAGGAGACACTCCAGGGGAAGGAGATGGTGAGGGTGGACCTGATGGAGACAGAGAATCTGCTGGTGGCCTCGGAGGGACTCCTAAACCATCTGGGGGCACTGGTCCTGGGGGGGTAGGAGGAGGTCCTGGGAGTGTAGGAGGAGGTCCTGGGGGGGTAGGTGGAGGTCCCGGGGGTGTAGGTTCTGGGGTGTAGGAGGAGGTCCTGGTGGGTAGGTGGAGGTCCCGGGGGTGTAGGTGGAGGTCCTGGGGGTGTAGGTGGAGGTCCTGGGGGTGTAGGAGGAGGTCCTGGTGGTGTAGGTGGAGGTCCTGGGGGGGGTAGGAGGAGGTCCTGGGGGTGTAGGAGGAGGTCCTGGAGGGGTAGGAGGAGGTCCTGGGGGTGTAGGTGTAGGTCCTGGTGGTGTAGGAGGAGGCCCTGGGGGTGTTGGAGGAGGTCCTGGTGGTGTAGGAGGAGGCCCTGGGGGTGTTGGAGGAGGTCCTGGGGGTGTAGGTCCTGGTGGAGCAAGTATCAACAAACCTGGAAAAAGTAAGCAGTTTATTTTTGCATTGCCAAACTATGCCATTTGTGGGTCATACATTTAATGCTTTGTGCATATATATATATATATATAGGTTATTACGGTGCTGCTGGTATCGGAGTATTGCCAGGTGGAGGTACAGACACATTTGTATGCAATACAGACACATTTGTGCAATAGTAACTATGAATGGAGGTAAAAAGATAAATCTGTTTCCTCCCCATAGGCAAACGTTATCTAACTGGAGCAGGACAAGCAGTTGGAAAACCAGGGAAAGGTGTGTTACTTTTTCCTAATATAACAACAAAATCCATTATGTTTGTTGACCTAGTGTGTGTGTGCCCCCCCCCCCCCAGTTTATGGAACTGGCCCTGGTGGGTATGGTCCAGGGTATGGAACAAGTGTTGGTCCTGGAGGCATTGTGCCCGGTGGTGGAACTGGACTGGGACTGGGTGGCTTAGGAACAAGGTCCGGTGTTGGACCTGGAGGTGCTGGGACAGGACCTGGAGGCTTTGGACCTGGTGGTGCTGGGACAGGACCTGGAGGCTTTGGACCTGGTGGTGCTGGAACAGGACCTGGAGGCTTTGGACCTGGTGGTGCTGGGACAGGACCTGGAGGCTTTGGACCTGGAGGTGCTGGGACAGGACCTGGAGGTTTTGGACCTGGTGGTGCTGGGACAGGACCTGGAGGTTACGGACCTGGTGGTGCCGGGACAGGACCTGGTGGTGCTGGGAGAGGACCTGGTGGAATAGGTGCCATCCCTGGAGGCCAAGGATTTGGAAGAAAACAACCGAAATACGGTAAACATTTGTGAAATATCATACTTTTTCTCCCATAAAATTTTTCCAAACAAAGAAATTAAGAAAAAAATTCCCCAATGTATAGGCCAAACCAGGCCTGGAGGTTATGGACCTGGTGGTGCCGGGACTGGTCCTGGAGGTTACGGACCTGGAGGAGCTGGAACAGGACCAGGAGGCTACGGACCTGGTGGTGCCGGGACAGGACCTGGAGGCTACGGACCTGGAGGAGCCGGGACAGGACCAGGAGGCTATGGACCTGGTGGTGCCGGGACAGGACCTGGAGGCTACGGACCTGGAGGAGCCGGAACAGGACCAGGAGGCTACGGACCTGGAGGAGCCGGAACAGGACCAGGAGGCTACGGACCTGGTGGTGCCGGGACTGGACCAGGAGGCTACGGACCTGGTGGTGCCGGGACTGGTCCTGGAGGATACGGGCCTGGTGGTGCTGGGACTGGTCCTGGTGGACAAGGATTAGGACAAAGAAAACCACCTAAATCTGGTAATTACATACAATTACATTCCACTGTGGTGAAATGACAACTATAATAGCTATATTTGTTGCAGGTTATGGGACATCTCTGGGTGGAGCTGGCTATGGCCCAGGTAAAATCTATAACATTTAAAATGAAACGTGAAATTAAGATCTTGTTATCACTTACTCATACAATCATTGTTTAGGGGGTGGAACGGGAACAAGACCTGGTGGTGTTGGGACAGGACAAGGAGGCTATGGACCTGGTGGTGCTGGGACTGGTCCTGGAGGGTTTGGCCCTGGAGGTGTTGGGACTGGTCCTGGAGGATATGGCCCTGGTGTTGCTGGGACTGGTCCTGGTGGATTTGGACCTGGTGGTGCTGGGACTGGTCCTGGTGGATTTGGACCTGGTGGTGCTGGGACTGGTCCTGGAGGCTTCGGACCTGGTGGTGCTGGGATTGGTTCTGGAGGCTTTGGACCTGGTGGTGCTGGGACTGGTCCTGGAGGCTTCGGACCTGGTGGTGCTGGGACAGGGCCCGGGGGTGCCGGGACAGGACCTGGTGGATTTGGACCTGGTGGTGTTGGCACTGGACCTGGTGGACAAGGATTAGGACTGAGAAAACCACCTAAATCTGGTAATTTACCTTCTAGTTTCTTCCATTGTCATACAATGAGTGCATGTATAATGATTATATATTTATTTTTGTCAGGCTACGGGTCATCTCTGGGTGGTGCTGGCTATGGCCCTGGTAAAAAGGAAAATTATAATTAAAGCAAAAAGTCAAATGATCAATTATTCACTCATTATTCATTGTTTAGGGAGTGGGGCAGGCACTGGAACAAGACCTGGTGGTGCTGGAACTGGTCCTGGCGGGTTTGGACCTGGAGGTGCTGGGACTGGTCCTGGGGGATTTGGACCCGGAGGTGCTGGGACTGGTCCTGGTGGGTTTGGACCCGGAGGTGCTGGGACTGGTCCTGGTGGGTTTGGACCCGGAGGTGCTGGGACTGGTCCTGGTGGGTTTGGACCCGGAGGTGCTGGGACTGGTCCTGGTGGATTTGGACCCGGAGGTGCTGGGACTGGTCCTGGTGGATTTGGACCTGGAGGTGCCGGGACTGGTCCTGGAGGGTTTGGACCTGGAGGTGCTGGAACTGGACCAGGAGGTTATGGTCCAAGAAAAGTCAAATCTGGTAATTATTCAAAAACAATTAGTAGGATAGTGGGGTAATTAAACAAACAAAAGAATGCTTGGTTTGTTTGTTTGTTTGTTTCTTTTTTAGGTGCAGGTGTTGGACCAGGAGGGGTGCGACCTGGGAGCTCTGGGGTTGGTCCTGGTGGAATAGGACCAGGATTTGGACCTGGTGGTGCTGGGACTGGTCCTGGTGGATTTGGTCCTGGTGGTGCTGGGACTGGTCCTGGAGGATTTGGACCTGGTGGCGCTGGGACTGGTCCTGGAGGGTTTGGACCTGGTGGCGCTGGGACTGGTCCTGGAGGGTTTGGACCTGGTGGTGCTGGGACTGGTCCTGGAGGATTTGGACCTGGCGGCGTTGGGACTGGTCCTGGAGGGTTTGGACCTGGTGGCGCTGGGACTGGTCCTGGAGGGTTTGGACCTGGTGGCGCTGGGACTGGTCCTGGAGGATTTGGACCTGGTGGCGCTGGGACTGGTCCTGGAGGGTTTGGACCTGGTGGCGCTGGGACTGGTCCTGGAGGATTTGGACCTGGTGGACAAGGACTAGGATTGAGAAAACCTCCAAAATCTGGTATAGAGACAGAAATATATCTGACTTGTAATACTGTGGAATAGTATTAAATATACTGTTTTGTTTTTATTTCCAGGTTACGGAGGAGCTGGATATGGCCCTGGTAAGAGTTATTTGTACAGTAAAAGCGCATGCTTTTTCTAAAAAAAATATTTATTCTTATGTTTGATCTATTCCCTGCAGGAGTGGGACCTGGTGGAGTGGGACCTGGAGGAATAGGGCCTGGAGGAGTAAGGCCTGGTGGAGTGGGACCTGGTGGAGTGGGACCTGGTGGAGTAGGACCTGGTGGAGTAGGACCTGGTGGAGTGGGACCTGGTGGAGTAGGGCCTGGTAGAGTGGGACCTGGTGGAACAGGACCTGGTGGAGTTGGGCTTGGTGGAGTTGGGCCTGGTGGAGTAGGGCCTGGTGGAGTAGGACCTGGTGGAGTGGGACCTGGTGTAGGGCCAGGTGGAGTAGGGCCTGGTGGAGTAGGACCTGGTGGAGTGGGACCTGGAGTAGGGCCTGGTGGAGTAGGGATTGGTGGAGGTGGCTTTGGTCCAGGAGGAGTTGGACTAGGACCTGGAGGTCCTGGAGGCTATGGGCCTGGTGGAACTGGCTATAGACCAGGTACATTTTATTTTTATTTTATGTTTTTTCTCTAAATGGGGATGTTTGAGCTCCCACAAAAGTTTTGTTTGAGCCAGGGTAGTACAGAGCTTTGTATCTTCACATGTTTTAAACTCCTTACATTCTTCTCTGACGATACAGTAACATGCTAGATTGCTAAGAACATTGCATTTGGGTATACATTATCCAAAATTTGCTGATTGTACAATTTTCTGTTGTATGTTAATATGTGTTAATATTGAGACACAGAACTGGTCTGATTAATGACATTTTTTCTCACATTCTGAATATCTTTACACATAGGTGGAAGTGCAGCAGGGACAGGAACCACTGTAGGAGGCCCCGGTGAGTTTACACAGAGAATGTAAAAGTGGAGCAAGGAAAATGTGTAATGTAACCATGTTTCTGGTAGGTGGTGCTGCTGGACCTGGTTTTGGAAGTGTAGCTGGAGGACTTTACCCTGGTAAATCTTGAATTAGAGTGAATAAAAGATAGATATACAAATACATTAAATTTGAATAACTAAAATAATGTCTGTATGTGTTTTACAGGAGCAGGCCAGAAATGTAAGAAATATATTCTTTTTCCCCTTTTTTTAAAAATCTCATTCTGTTGACTACATCTCTGGTAGTACTCAAATATTGCCTAAATAAATGTTTATTATTCTGTTATAGCCAAGGCCCAGAAAGCAGCTAAATATGCAGCACTGCAGGCATTATTGGGAACTGGTGGCTACAGAGGTAAAGAGCAATAAATAAATATAAATAACAGAATATTAATATAATATGTGGAGGATAAACTGAAAATGTCCCTTTTTTTAGGACGAAGGAAGAAGTGAAAGACCAGTATACAGGAAGTGACCTCATTTAATAACGTCGGTGCTACATGGCATGATTGTATGTGTTTACTTGCCTTCAACACACTCCTACAAGCCATTTTAAAACTGTATTCAGTATATTTGAAAAATGCAATGGGGTGGGTTAATACTTTTAGAGATAGTGTTTGACAATGAGATTTCCTTTAGATTGGTCAATATTAGCAATTGTCATGTTTATTTGTTTGCTCCATGTTTATTGTGTTGTTGTTTTCTTCTGAAGAAATTCCCTTCAACATTATGTATTTTGAAAAATGAACTGCTATATTGGTCTGACTAATCAGAAGGCTGAATAGTAAAAACTGTTCCTTTTGCTGTTCATTTTTCATTTAAACTGATGCACTGTTTTATGAACAAGAACATTTGGTTGTACTGTTAAGTAAAAATGTACTACTTTTTATTGTGTTTGCTATGAGATAATATGTGAGATAGACATGGCTTAATATCTGCAGCCTGTATAAATGTACTTGCTGTGTTAAAAATATCTTTAATTTATGGCAAAGAAAACTGTCTACGGCAAATATTTAATCTACTTTTACCAGTTTAAGTGTATAAGTAGTTTGTGTCCCTTGTGTGTGAGAAGCTTGCGCTTGTTTAAAAAATGGTCCTTGAATGTATACCCAGACACTGTAGTCTGTGATTGTTCTATAAATGTAAAAACTTTTTGAATTTAATATTTTTACTGTAATATTTGTTGTTTGTAGAGGAAAAATAATGCACTTTTTGTACTGACTTTTGACAATCCTCTTTAAACTAATAAAATTTAAATCTAAATATTTTAAAGTCTATATTTTACTGAAAGGAATGTTTGCTTCACTGAACTGGCTGACAAGAGGAAGCATTCAAAAACAGTCAACTGCCTTGTGGTCAACAAACCTCACTAACCTTGAAATGTTGCATGGACAGACTATACAATGAACACACCATTTTCCCTTAGTAAAGTAAAGAGTGCTCTTACAGAGCTCAGTACACTTCTGTGGACAAAAACATCCATGCAAAACATCCTAAGAAACAATGTAAAAAGAAAAAAAGTAAACAAAAAAAAACTCACAACCTGATAAGCAGATGGGTTACTAGTGGTAAATACTATATATATTATATTTATCACACTACAGTATCTGAATACTTCCATCCTAATATCTTCATTGATTTCCGGCTATACTAAAAAAATTCTGAGATGCGACAGCACAATTCCAACCTCTATATGTATGAAATCAAGTTTATAGAGCTCATTTAAAACAGCCAAAGCCTACAGTAGTGCTGAACAACAACAGTAATACAGCAATATGTATCACTTATTATATCTCTCTGTTACTGATTCTATAAACTACACATATGATGTTTTCCTTTTCTGCCCCACAGGCTCAGAGCAATTGCAATTTCTGTTTTTGTTTATTATGTCTTATGTGAGCGATTTGCCTCTGAATCGGGACAGTGCAGTAATTGGAGCATTCATAAAGAGATTATGCTCGCACTGATGGGAACAGACCCTATTTCAAAACAGACTGTGGTATTACAAAATGGGCCCTATGCTGTACACTTCACTATATCATACTATTCATACAAAGCAGAGGGTCATCGGAGTAAAGCAGAGGTAAGGTGGATATTTTTCTGGGAACAGTTTGACCGACAGAGGGAGACTGACTAGCTGGGTGTCACTGGGTCAGGGTTTTTTCTCACAAACATTTTTTAGGGGGAACTGACTACACAGGAAGAGAGAGAGTGAGGGGAAGAGAGAGAAAGACAACGCCTGCTACTCGACACAGCACAGTGCATGTCTACTCTTGTACAAATGAAGATAACAAACTCTTCACCAGACAAGTCGGATAACTGGTAACACTTTGATCCACAATGTCTAGAAGAGACCAGCGGTTCAGGAGAGGAATGAAGGGACGGTAAGAGAAACCATCATGTCTCACTTTTGTTTTGTCTTTACAGTAAATACGACTTAAAAGTACTGAGTCAAACTGAGAGGAAGGAGACCTGGACTTACTAACTATAATTCAACTTCCTTACTGAAAATATAAAAAACTATTACACAAGGGTAGGCTAGCTGTAATGGGGGAATACCAAGTTTTGCAAGTAAAGAACAAATAAGTTTTAAAAAATTATGGAACAGTTTAAAATTATTGTTTAAATTTGTCTTCCTCGGGCAAGAGTTATTTCGTTAAGATTGTATGTAAAAACAATACTGTCCTGTACATGCGCTATTGTATGAACGAAGATTATTTAAATTGCATCAGCATATAATATAATTGTATATATAATTGTAGGTGCAGCAATATTTATTTCTTATAGTTTCAAGATGAGACATTCTAGATTGTCTATTTTTGACAAGGCCTGTTCATCAAGGAAGTCCAGATGGCCAAAACAAACTGCACAGAGGAAACCGCAACACTGCAGGAGAGTACATCACTAGAAGATTCACATTTGACCCCTGCACAAATGCCTTGATATCATAACCTGTTTTATGAACACCAGGTGGCAGTGCCAATTTTAGAGTTAGGACAAGACAGATCTCCAGACAGGACAGTTCAGGCTATACGATGACCTAGAGGTGTTATTAAGTATTCAGGTAAAGTGATAGGAGTACAATAAACAAGGGTAAATGATCTTTAACTGTGTAAAGGTAGCAGCAAGGGATTTGAAACTGTAAAGGTAAGGTAGCAGAGCACTCATTACTGTGTGACAATTATACCAGGGGTGCCCTGCAAACATACAGGTGTTTATAGTGGTATAATAGCTTTTATAATGGTAGCTCAAGGAGTGTTACAATGTGACTGTAAAATTAATCTGCTGCAAGTCTGTTAATTAAGAGCAATTCAAACATCACCACAGCACAGGCCAAAGAAACAACATAAATAAAGTCAGAACTGTCAAATACACAAATATAGACTAAATAATTCTGAATGTGTTTGTACAATCAAAAAGCAGTTTTTGCTATTATGCATTGTAAAGTAATATACAGTTAAATTTTACTAATATATGTAGCCTCAAGCCTACTCTGACAAACTGTCAAAAGAATTTTCAAAATAGAAAACCATCCTTGTGAATCTTGTGAAAAGACATCTTGCCCAATCAGAAAAAAAATATTCCATGTGAGAGTTTATTGAGAAATAACACACCCATGTGATTCAACACCAGAGTAATTTTTTTCCTTTCCAATCTATTGTTTTAAGTATTACCAAAAAAGCATTCACAGTGGCTTTAATATGTACAAGGACAGATAATAATTTTTAATATTAGCTGGATTGGAATACAGTGCTCCTGTACTGTACATCCTCTCATAGTAGCAGCATGACATTTACAGTTAGGCTCCACAGAGGAAACAGGGGCCTGCATTGTGTCCAGGAAGTTACCTCCTGCTCTGCTCCCAATGTGTGAGATAAGGCAATGACTTTTTTAACAGATTACGGTATTGTGGTCAAATACCATTTTATTGTAGGGCTGGGCAATATGACAAAAAAGGAATTAATGAATGCTTGACAATAAACACTACAGGCTTTTAATCATTTTCTAAAATTAAAAATGTGTTCTTCCTATGTCTGACCTCTACTCCAAACCACACGCTTTTACTGACAGAGGATTGGTTGTAGGCCTCTGAATTATAAAGACTCTAGCAAATCACTTATTTTATGATTACAGATGACTAGATCTAAAGCTCAATTAGAAATGGATTAACTGCACAGTGTTACTTTACCATGAATTTCACAATACATTTTCAGCATTTCTTGGCTAAGAAAATGACTTGGGAGCAACTGTGAGCTTATGATTGACTGTGAATTTTAAAGTAGTATTCACAACAGACTGATGAAGGAAGTAGTTTTCAAATGTAAGACTCAAGTCACTGTGATGTTAGCTATTTAGGATAATTCACTATCCACAAAAACAACTCCTACTCAACAAAATATTTTCATCATACTTTTCATCAATGCCGTATTTTTGCCAACTACAACTAAATGAACAAAACAACAAAATAATCATAATCACTAAAACCATGACTAAAAGTGCATGCATTATCAACCACTAATTGACTAAAACTATTTAAATTTTATATTAATATTTAGATTTTTCAAAGAATAAATACTAAACATAAGTAAATACAAGGAACAAGTGCAGACTAGATCAGAGTTCCATTTGTCATTCCCGGAGCCCCAGACCAGGCCATAAACAAACCATCATCCAAGAAACACGTCTTCACATGTCCAAGGAAGCTCAATACAATTTACCCCAGTTAAAATTTAAATATATACGCTTTGGTTAAAACTATTATGTAACCTGACCAGCAAGATGAATTCTCCAACATTCAACACACATAGTGGTGTGAGCCAGGTAAACTATTATGAATTTTTGTCAACTAAAGCTACAAAGGATGAAGAGGAGCTGAAGTACATAACGTCCAGTGTTACTGTCAGTACTGAGTGTTAAAAGTGGTAATTTTGTCCCTGTTCTGCTCTGGAAGTGTCCCACCTGATCCTGTGTAGCGTGCTCACCTTTCCTTTTAGGCTCATATGGTCCATCAGTGATTGGGCTCACATTACACTGCCTCAGACTGGCTTTCTTGAGCTACTATTGTTTTTAAATCTACAAGCTGTTCTGGTGTCTTTGTTTCACACTATTCTTTTACCATTTTGTATTCTTACGTCTCTTGTTTGTAGGTGCAGTGAGTGTGGCTGCATCCTGTCTAATTGGTATTATGAGAGAGATGGAGGGTTGTACTGTAAGAAGCACTACTGGGCTCACTATGGAGAGCACTGTCACGGCTGTAAGGAAACGATTACAACAGGACTGATAATGGTAAAGTGTTCACTAGCAGACCTATGTATTGTATTGCATTTAAAATACTGTTAAAATATATTCCAGAGAACTAAAAGTGTAGCTCTTACAGCTAGCTTCAGTCCTGGTAATGTCTGTGTTATGGGTACAGTCCAGTAAGTCCAAATAAAGTTTGGGGTTTGGTCACTGACACATTTTCAGTAATAGAAAAAATAAGTTGAAGACAAAATGAAATGTAGAAATGTACGAAAAAATATGAATGATGATGATTAGACAGAAACAAATAATCCTTAAATCCAAGTGCACACTCTGCTCTTTCACACCAGTAAACTCAACACATTTAGATGTTAACTGGCACACACAATCTAAAAATAGCTTTGATATTGATCCTGTAATGTCTGATCAAAACTTGCCAAATAGGTTGTGTAACATCACATATTGAAGGGAGGATTCCAGAGAACAAACACGTCACAATATCTGTGTGAGGCAAACTTTTCCAGCATTCAAAGCTTTTCCTGCTTCCTCCAATATGAAAGTCATTTTTGTACCCAAGTTGAAAGAGGATATCCTCTGAAAACATCTGAACTCCACAAAGAATGTGGAGACAGCAAGTATATTTCAAGACAGCCTCTCAGGAATGTGCATCTGTAGTTAATAGAGTCATTGATGTCCTGTTTTTAGGTCGCAGGAGATCAGAAGTTTCACACAGAATGTTTTTCATGTAGAAACTGTGCAACAATTATCGGAGAGGGAGACACCTACACTTTAGTGGAACGTTCCAAACTCTACTGGTGAGTCTGAAGCTCAAACTATGCCATGTGTTGCCAAACTATGCAACCAAAGCATTTGACTTTAAAACTTTGTCTGTAGTGGTCACTGCTTTCGACAGGGTGTAGTCACAGCTGAAACACAGTCGTCTCCACTTACCAAGAGACGACACATGGTGGCGCTAGTGTATTTTCCTCCTCAACCAGGTGGGCACCGTGGACTATCCATAGAAATAGATGTCAGTAAAGGAAAAGTCCCCCTTCTTACTGTGACTGGGTGAGTCTGCAAAGATGACAGATAAAACTGTTAAAATATCTAATAGTTCAAAAGAGAAGGCAGAAATTATATTTCTAACTCTAATGTATCCCACTCACTATAACCAGCTTTGATCCAGACATCCTCAGTGCTGGTTTGCTGTCTACTCTTCATGTTGGTGACAGAGTTTTGGAGGTCAATGGACTCCCAGTCTCCAACATAACACCAGAAGACGTATGTCATACTAAAATATAAGAAATCAATATTACTACAGCAAGCACATCCTAAAGTGCATAATGGTCCCTTTAGATCCACTGTGTGATAGAAGATGTGAGTAAACCTTTGCAGCTGACCATAGAGCACAACCCTCCATCTCCCAGCGCCTCAACCCAGGACACCATGAGCTCAGACAAACCTGCTCCCAACAAACTGACTCTGGGCCACAGCCTCCCGAGTGTGCAGGAGGAGCCCAGTGCCACTGAGGAGACAGAAGCGCCCCCTAGGGTCAGGCTGTCACCTCAACACCAGGGGGCACCGGGAATCAAGTCTAGAAATATTATGTATGTAAACTACTTTACCTTTTACATGTAGTTGTACTGTGTTCTGTATATACAGTGAGTCTTGTGATACTTGTCTTTCTCAGACGGAGCTGCAGTATAGACAAGTGCCCGCTGTCATCCGGCTCACTCTCACATTTAGCGCAGCGCAGAGACATGGTTCGGTCAGAATCCCTCAGAGTAGACCACGGGGACCGAACCCATCGCATCTTCAGACCCTCAGATCTGATTCACGGAGAGGTGCTTGGAAAAGGCTTCTTCGGACAGGCTATTAAAGTGTGGAAAAGAATCTGCTGAAATAATTCAAATAAGACCAGTGCAATGTAAAACAGCAAAGATAACATAGATTTTTACTATTTTGTTTTTAGGTGACTCATCAAGAGACAGGGGAAGTAATGGTAATGAAAGAATTGATACGGTTTGATGAAGAAACACAAAAGACTTTCTTAAAGGAGGTGAGCTTTAATTGACAGCAGCGTGCAAACATCATTGTAAAAGCTTGATGTTACACTTTGTTGTGGTTCAAGGTATTACTCAAAAAACATAAAGATGCTCAGTTTCATATGGTAGTTTTTTTTAGCCCAACCCAAGCCACATCCTCATGAGGGCGAAACTCTTTGTATAAGTTCCTCATTTAGAACTAATCTCTCATGCTTGGTTGGTCTTTTGTGCATTTATTTTCAATTAAAGCAGCGCAATTTTATTAAAATACAGGTAAAAGTGATGCGATGCCTGGATCACCCCAATGTACTCAAGTTCATCGGATTGTTTTATAAAGATAAAAGAATACACTTTGTCTCTGAATACATCCAAGGAGGGACTCTGAGAGAAACTATTGAGAAAATGGTAATTTAGGTTTATTTTATTATGAATTGAAAGTGGTGCCTGTTCTGAAATAGTTCTTCTATTGCTTCTATTGCTCAGGACAAAGATTTCTCATGGAGTGTAAGAGTGAGTTACGTAAAAGACATCGCAGCAGGAATGGTAAATTCCTAATACCAGTAAATTTATGTATTATATATTGTCTTGAACTATGTTCTATTAAATTACCTTACCTTAGGCTTATTTACATTCAATGAATGTGATTCACCGAGACCTAAACTCCCACAACTGCCTGGTCAGAGAGGTATGATTATTTACAACATCATCTTGATACTGGCAAAAGATAAATTATCATTAATATATTTCTTTTCCAGAACCAATCAGTGGTAGTAGCAGATTTTGGGCTGGCCAGGCTGGTGCCTGAAGACAAGAATAAAATGTCTTCTTCTCTGGAGAGGCCTGCTAAAGACTCACCTACACAGGGCCGAAAGCCTGACCGGAGGAAGCGCTACACTGTGGTGGGAAACCCCTATTGGATGGCCCCAGAGATGATCCACGGTAAGCACATATCAGCGTTTAATGTGGTTGCTTTTTCTCACTGAATATTTAATAATACTGATATAGTGATTTTTTATGTTCTTTTTTTAACTCAGGAAAAAGCTATGATGAACGTGTGGACATATTCTCTTTTGGCATCATGATCTGTGAGGTAAGATTAAATTACTACTATAGCTTTAAATATATTTTGCATTCGATGGATTAGTGTTGTACTAGAATTTCAAATTCAATTTCTTTAACATCGTTATCGTTACATCATACGGTTTTATTTAGCATAGGTCCAACTGGGTCTTCTTTAAAAGTGCATTGTGCAACTTTTTTGATGGGGGGGTCTGTCAAATGCTCCATGGAAATGTTATTGCTTTGTCTAGGATGCTTCGCAGTATGTATTAAGCCTTTCTATCTTCATTGAGACCAAACCAGACCCAAGTTAGAGGCAACCCCGCTCACAGTCAGCATGCTTGTTTTTCTAGGTATGTTTGAGTTATAAAACCACCTGTAATTGAATACATATAAGGTAGAGCTGTTTAATGTCATACTGTTTAACATACCAGGCAAAACAATGACATATCCAGAGAAACAAGCAGGTGACGGACCCTCCACCAGAAAAGTTACACAATGCAGTTTTAAGTATCAGTACTTTTCCAAATAGTATCTAGTTTGAATACTGGTTTTGGCATCAGTCAGGGATGTAACAATATCCAAATCTCTCTGTACAATATCTTCACAATATGCATCTTATGATATGATATTTATTGTGATATTTTGTGGAAGCTAACAAAATATTTTAAAATGTTTTAACAAGCCTTTGGTTCTGTTATAACCAAAGAAGATGTAAAAATGCTTAATAAGTTATTATTGAAACAGAGTAAAGATATATGTAGTTCCTTCTGTTTTTATTAGCTTTTCCTGTACCATAACACTGAATTTAAGCAAAGAGACTAATTTGATATAAGGTATATTGTGATGGCCAACAAGTCTCACGATACAATATCACAGTATTTCAGTTATTGTTACATCCCTTGTATCAATTAGTATGTGGGTATCTATAATTCTGTAAAAGCCTTCTATAGATATGAGGTTTTGAAAAGAGTTGACTTTCTGTATATTAATACTTGTGTGTAGATCATAGGCAGGGTGAGTGCAGACCCAGACTTCCTCCCGCGTACAAAGGACTTTGGGTTGGATATGGCTGGTTTCCTCCAGCAGTACTACCCTCCGGACTGCCCCTCGCCCTTCCTGCCCCACGCTGCCCTCTGCTGTGACATGGACGCAGACAAACGGTAAGAGAAGACAGAACCTGCCCTGAGAATGACATAAGATCATACTGAGTTTCATAGTGTTGGATCTTATACATACCAGTGATTGGGTTGTATGCCTTGACATGTTGCAATGTCAAGATGTTTCTTGTAAGATTGTCAGCTGTGTCTGAGAAATGTCTTGTCAGAGGCAAACCTAGCAGTTTCATGCTTCAAATGTATTCCCGGTTAGAGTTATCTTTAAATGTTTTTAGTACATTATCAGGTCTAAACCAGGTTTATAGCAGGACAAACATGTTCTAAACCAGATCTATAGCCTAAAAAGTCTACACCTGTGTAATGGGACAAGTAACAGATCATTTAACTAAATTTGTCAAATGATAGAGACACTTCAGGATAGAATTTGTTCAATAAAATTTTACAGCAATAAAAAGGATGAATCATTTTAAATTGCATTAATCTGTATCTACTGCTGAGTGAGCAGCACACTTCAGTCATCAAATGAACTATTGCTGCTACTGGACCCAGACTACTATAATTCTGTGTTGTGCTCCTGGACCTGTGTAATTCTTTGCACTGTTTTGATATAGTAGTTTTCGATTAATTTACCCTGCTGTTTTGACTTGATCAGGTAAATCAGTAATTTTGTTATATTAAATAACCAAGACACATAGATCATGAAAGAGCAGGGACAGGGCATTGGGCAAAATATTGTGCCACATGCACAATCCTATCTAAGCCAAGAGTGACATTGCCCCCTGCTGTTTTTAAAAGATACATCATGTTAACAAAAGTATTACATAAAGCCTGTGAGAACATTTTAACACATACATGATAAATGTGTTTGAAAAATTATCAACAATAAAATTTAGATTCCCTGATTCATTGAAACAATTATGGCTGCATTTACTTAGATAACAGAATGTCCTTGGCAAGTAAAAGAATGCAAACCCTGTCACTTAGAACTCTACAGCCAAGTTCTGAAATAAATGTAAAAATAAATAAATACAAGTATTGAAATTATTTACTTGAACAAGAATAAATAATTGTTTGCCAGTTCATATTTTATCTTCCTCTGATGTTAATACCTCTAGATGTGCTTAAAATGTGCAGTGTTTTGGAACTGACCTTTTTTCCGAATTATTGCATCCAAACATCCAACTTCTGAGTCACTTACCTAAACATATCCTTGTAATTTCTTTCTTTCAGACCTCCCTTCTCACAACTGGAGGAGTGGCTGGGGAACCTCTTGATGCACTTGGACATTGGTCTGCCTCTGCACTCAGAATTAGAGCAGCTCCGTTCAAGCTTCTGGAAGACATACAACAATCACATCATCAGTGAGGATATTAACAAATTTTCCACTCAAAAAAACAACACTGGAAAGCAAACTAGCAAAAGAAATACTAAACTTTTCTTGGACAATGAAAATAACCAAACTGAGTCACCTCCTCTCACTGAAAATATGGATAAAATCTACTCGTCATCATCATCTGATGGCCATTCAGATGAAGATCACCTAATGCCAGACGAGTACAAGAAAAGAACTGACAGTAGTCGCATCTGCCCCAAAAAGGATTGTAAAAAACATCTGATGAGTAATGGATGTTCCCAGAAGATCTGTAGGACTCTGGGTAAAGAAGCAAACAAGGACTTTTCTAACTGCAAATGTAACATCACCACAGGACAAAAGAAACTGCATGAGCTATCACAACCACTGCATGAAAACAACTGCGTTCAAGGTCAGAATAGTCACAGGTTATGTAGAGTGCCCTGGGACAGATCCAAAGAGGACTCGTATCTATAAATTTATATTTATCACATTTATATGACATTTCACAAAGGGCTATTAGGTATTACAATGTGTGTTTATTTGTTATAATACTACAAAGGAGTACTTTATCTGGCCAAAGTAGATAACTTTTATACAGCACTGTGGTTACAGACCGCAATACTAATAAGCTATTCATTTAGTTTAATCTGTGAACATCTGGCACTTTACATTTCAACAAGCAAAACCTTTATAGTGTATTATATTTATTACAACTCATAAAGAATTCTGAAAATATATTTTTGAACTGGTTTTCTGAGTTTTGTCTTTTCATTTGATTCTTTAGTGGTGATGATATTCAATACATTTGTGACAGTCACAAGCTCCCATGAGTCATAGTTACACTTTAAGTGAATGCAGTGAGTGGGCATTTCAAACCAGTAAGTAAAGTAAGCAAAAAAGGTGTTTAATAGTTGTGCAGCTGATCAGTTAATTAAGAAATGTTAGTGATAAATTATTTCACAATCTGTTTCTGTTCATGGTATCAAGAATAATCATTACAACACAAAAACTTGCCACATCCTACTTTAAGACAGGCTGTGCACTCTTGTTGAACTTAAGAAAGAAGAAGTCTCACACAGTCTTTCTTGCAGCACTGGTGATTTATTTACAAAATTGCTATGCTTCAGCCCTTGCTTGATGAAGACCATGGCCTGAAACACTTTAAACTCCACTCCCAAGGCAGGTATTCAGATCAGAAACACTGGCTTTACTCAAGGCAGTCCTGTGTGATGTCACGAGGTACCTGAAACTGCAGTGGCCACTAAAGGCAGTCATAGGTAATATACAGTCTATGGTGGTAACATACACACTGTTTTGACTGTTTTTGACCAGAAAGCTGCAATAAATACCAAGAAATCTGTACTGTGAACAGTAGACAATGCTAAACAGTCTATACAGTTTAGTGGGGTCAGCCCTGTTTCCTCAGCACTATGTTCCCTTATTTTTTCAAAGATTTTTCTCAAAATTAAACTCTAAGTCAAGTCATTTTAATATTTATACCGCATTTCAACCTAGGATCCTTTGCACCATGACCTAAAAATTACAACTATAATCTACTGCAGCTGGATATTAGATCGGGTGTAACTGACTACCAAATTGGGAGAAATGGGGATAAAATCTGATGCAAATTGATGATAAAGGAAATGTGGGAACATAAGGCCTAATTTTAAAAAGAAAGAAAAAGACCTTAAAAATGAGGGAACATAAGGCTGAGAGCACATAGGCACGTTCCCCATTTTACTAGCCTAGCATAAAGGTCATGTAGTGTTTACTTTAACACTAAGGCCGTTCAAAAGCCAAATTTGGCTGCAAAATTAACCCGTTTGTCTTTGACTGCGTAGTTCATCTGCTTGTGTTGGTCACACAAGAAGGATATCAAGTCACAAGCATGGAAATATGGTCACAAGCATACCTGTAGCACGTGTCGGCCTCGTCCATTACCGTGTAATAACTCAAACATTGCATGAAATATTAGCTCATAAATATCCATAGGGACATAAAGGGCCACTAGGCCGCATGATAAGAAGGACTATAATGATAAAAGGCACAGAACCTTCTGACAGAAGAGTTCAAGTCGGCCACAGCAGTACAAGGACATCCTCTCGTAGGGTTTTTAGCGGTATAAAGGCTGTCATCATCATCATCATCATCATCTTTATTCCGTACTCATGGTCCATTTAAAAAACAGACAAGGACAAAACAATAAACATTCATGTTTTTAAAAGACAACCATACCAGTGTCTCCACATGTTGGACTGATATCTGTTTGACTTTGCAGATCCTCACTTCCCGCTGCATTGATTCTCTATATTTATTTATATATTTAAGTCTAACTTAAATGAATAAAGGATGGCTACTCTCTTTATGTATATTTTAACGTTAAATATGTTGGAAATACAAAGCTAACAAAATTCACTAAAATAAGCACAAAACGTATTAATTCAACATTGTGTACCTGCGTCGTAATAACAAACTGGACTAGAAGTTGTTATTTTGATAATTTCGTGGTGTAGTTGCACATTACCAGCAGGTGGCAGCATAACATATTCTAAATCCACTTTATTCACAGTTTCCAACGAGCTGCACAGCTACAGTAAAACTCCTAAAATAATAAAACCAGTAAAAGCAAACACAAACAAAACCATAATAGTAATAAAGGAGCAAAAATAAATAAATAAACACATATGCACAGCTTACATGGTGTTAAAAGACCTGTGCTTCCTGGTCATAGACACCATAAGCTGGAGGCATGGAGCCATGTATCAGGAATGTAGCTAGAGATCAGCTGATGCTTTGTGTTCAGTTATAATTATAGCAGACTACTCAATAATAGTAATATATAATCCTGACAAACACCAGTAATGACAGTGTGAAGGTAACTCTACTATAGACAACAGCCATTATTTACAGACACTACTACGACAAAAAAAGGCATTAATTAGAAAAATTATATTGTTTTAGACTGAGTTTGACAAACAGTTGTATTGTTCAATTATTTAATATTGTTAACACTAAGCTTTTGTCATTTATTCACAATGGGAAGAGAATACCTAAACCTATAATCCTAGACTTAGACTGACTTTATTGATCCACAAGTGAAATTATTTGGACACACATCACAATAGTCAAAATGAAAATATATAGAAATATAGTAATACAAATATATTTCAGCTATATATACAGGAGGTTGTAAGGAGAAACAGTGGACAGATGAATTAATGACTGGCAGAACTTAGGGTTATCTACAACTACATTCTAAAATATATCAAGCAAGAGGAATAAAATTGTTCTCAGAAAACTGAGTTAAAAAGTGTCAACATTACGTTCTGAATATATCAAAACAGATAAAATAAACTAATAAAAATAGTAGCATTTAGAAACACCAATGACAGGACAAACAGTGGGTTCAGGCTGGGGCCACAGAAATAGGCACTTGTGATGTTGGCAAATGCAGAAATGTCACTGTGAGTGGTAGTACTGTTACCCAAAGCCTCTAAATGAGTGTGTGAGCGACTGGTGTAAGAATAGCTGCATTCATACAGCCCACATTACAGTTAGAAAAAGTGTGGAATTGAGACAGAGGGAGGAGGACCACAAAATAACAAATATATTCTCGTAAGGAAATGGTTTGGTAAGTCCATATTACACAAGGGTGATTCATTTTTACACCTTTAGTTTTAGTGAGTTTTTTGTTGTTGTTCCTCTTGCTGGACTTTGGCCCACAGTCTGCTGAACAAACTGCACCCAATGAGTCAGGAGCATCAGATGGCTGTCACATATAACCACGAAACACTTGTCAATCTGTTCACATTTCAACACTATGGTATGTGTCATAAGCTATTTGACTGCAGCTTTTAAAATACAATTTATGTGACAAAAACTCAGTATCATTTACCTTTTGAAAACACAAAATAAGTTAGTTTATATTGGTCCAACAAAATCAGTGCCAAAATACATGTGGATTTTGTTGAATATAGGCACAGTGTCTTTATTCTTGTGCTGCCTTAGTTAAACATTTGGATTTTAATATGTTTAAAGTTCATCTTAACTGACCTACAGCAGACCATTATCAAACTATGACAAAATGTTCTGATGAGTGCAACTAAGCAACATTTAACATTAACATTTAACTGACTTTACCTACTCAGCTTTTTCAGTTTTATACCACATAAGCATATTTATTTGACCTTTAGAGACAGAACAATATACATATCATCTCTCCGTCATAGCACCCGCAAGTGAACATATACATTGATAACTCAGAAGCAAGCAGAAAAGATAAATTAATTATATATTTGAATTATGTTTTGAAAATTGTCAGAGGAATTTGAAAAGGAAAAAATTCTTATAAATAATATATGGGCTCAAATATGTAGGTATGAGGAGAGTGTTCTTAAAGAGACAATTCTTAGCTGTGTTTTTGCCTTTTCGTGGTTGTTATTTATAGGTTGTTTATGTCTTCCCATGTTTAAAGTTTCAAAAATGTGAACATACATTATGCCTCTTATGTATTAAACAGGGTTACATAATTGTTGAATAATCAAAGCATTCCAGCTAATAAACATTTTGAGCCATCATTTTCAATACAGTGTAGACTGCCTAGGAAACCAAGAAATGAAATGGCGTTAAGAGGGTTGAGTGAGGAACAAAAGCAGGTGCACTTCAATAACCTTTATTTAGTTTACAGATGTTTTCATTTGAAGTTCATAGGGCCATAAGGGGAGCATTAGTGCTATTTACAATCGGTTTGAAAACGTTTATATCTGTACAGATTGGAACCCTGATCATTATAAACAATTTTAAGACCTAGTGCTGTTACAAAGCCATTTAAAAGCAAAAATAAAACAGAGGATTACATTAAATTATACACAAGTAAAAATAATATTAGAAGAGCACATAAAGAGAAACAAAATACAGTTTACGGGAGATTAGGGAGGTTTTTGCTGCTCTTAAGCACAAGTGAACTGGCTAGAGGCTAACCATCACGATCAGACTAAACATCAATATATTGTTTATATATCAACAAGACCTAGTCATCATGTCCTAAATAAGAGTCATATTATTATTAAATATATTCTACACTTTACCTTAGATTGGAATTCATCTCCCATTGGAAAAAATATAAAATTAACTGCTCTGTACATTTGTAATAATTTTATGGAGCACATACAATCTGTGCAAAATGGACTATGTGAGTATTTTGTAAAGTTTCACATTGTGTATTGTTAGCAATATTATTCCCTGTATTATATGGTTGTTGAACAGTTACAGTTTGAGGATGCAGATAAGATCATGAATATAATGTAGTGTGCAATGCTCTTTTTTCAGTTTTGAAGATAAATGTCTTCTTTTTCAGCTTTCTGAAACGGTGTGCTGTCAATTATTTACAACAGGAAAAACAGTGCTGGTCGAGCAAAAAACTGGACTTTCTCTGTGATGCAGGAAGATGATAGGAGACAAATTAAGACAAATGTGGATATAGTTTCATACCCACTTCATTAACCTGTTGGAACAGAACTGCACAATTTATGGCAAATCTTTGCCATTTTGATATCTCAAACTATGGGAGCCATCATGATACTGTTCGCCAGACCATGCACCATCCACCATGATGTAACCACATACAAAAGTTTCCATGTACACATTAGGACTATTGCATATCATATATTGTTGCAGTGAGATATTGCTCAATATTTTTTCTCTTTTGATGATGATATCATGATGCCATAATTACACAGTTCCTTCACAACACTGGTACCAAAATTTGTCTTTAATTGGGCATAGTAAGGAATCTAGGTTTATCGAGCACAACACTGATCGGTCAGTAATATAGTTATATATAACTGTATATACAGTATATGCAATATATGCATGGACTGTCAAAACACAGTCACATATGTCTCGGACAAACAAATATATCACTATTTGTTTATTTATTAGGCTTTGTTTGGATAAAATATTGAGAGACAGAAAAATCTTTCCCTCAAAAAAAAAAAAAAAAAAGAATAATTTCTCTATTGTGCATTTCGCTTGCACATGCAGAGGAGGGCAGTAGAGAGAGGACACAAGTGTAGACTAGTATATGAATGTAAGTGTCCTGGTCAGCTGGATCAGGCACAGCTTTGTCTGCACCAAGGAGCACAGATGTATGAATGTGCAGACCATAAAACTGAGTCTGTTTATATGGACTTGTGTGTGTTAGTGGTTAAAATCCTTTGCCATAAGAAAAGACAAGGCCACACGCAAAACTTGGGCACTGCATTACTGTGACAACCAGCTAAAAACTGACTGCTAGCAGACCGGCCACGAATAGCAACATGAGTCAATGGTATGTAACGTTATGGCAGCAGAAGGCTTAACAAGGTGTACATTAAGAAATTTCAAAATAAAAATATAACATGCAAATCCAGTTCCTCCTATGACAAATAATCATCAAGTACAACAAAAGGAATCAACGCTATTGTTTAAATCAGCTCTGTAAGTCCTGGATTGAGCCCGCTGCCTCAGTGTTTCCATATCAGAGGAGACTGAGGAGGAAAGATGTTGTCCGAATGCGTATCCTTTTTGTTGTTGTTATGGACAGGCGGCGGGACGGGGGGACGTGCTCGTAACTATCCCAGGACGAGGAGGGCAGGAGGAGGACGAAGAGGTGTGAATCTACAGGATGACACAGCAGTTGCTCTCTCCAGTCTTCTCACGATTTCTTTGACCTGTAACAGACAAGATAGGATGTCTTAAAGAACACACATTATGCTGGAGCCTGCGATATAGTTAAAATGACACCCATGGTTCATTATGTTATAATTTGTACATTTTAAATCGCAATATTCATCATAAACAATGTCATAAAAGAAACAAATCCGCTGACTTCCACGTTCCAAATTCTGGTGCCCAATGGGAGCATACATCGCCATGAAAGTCATCACAACAAAGGGACAGCAGCTCCAGATCACATTAGTTAGCAGATTTTTTTCCTTTGTACCAAAACAACAACACAATGTTACCAAATCGTACGTGTACCATGGATTGAAAAAATAAAATTGGAAAACCAAGTAAGTACAGAGCAGCAACAGAGTAGGTATGTCTTTTTTATGTATTTATTTTGCATGTTAATTTGAATTTCAAACATTACTGTGAAAGAGAGCCTAGTGATATATTTCTCTTATTGTATGAACAAAGTTTTTACTCTTGAAATAAAATATTCCCACTCCCAGGTATAGTGACAGTGAGATGGTACCTGTGCCCTGGTAAAAGGTGTTATATGTAACTTTTGTGGTGGATGTGTCCAACCAGCATTATGTCAGCCTGAAGATAATATTACTTTACTTGTTGCACAGTGTGTGACTAAACTTATCTATTTTCCAGGAGACAAGTTGATGGTGTCACTAGACAAAGTTACTGGTCATGTGGTCATATGTGGTGGCAAGACTGCTTACATTAATAATTGATGTATTTTTTTCAATAAAAACAAGTAATTTAATAAATGCATTATATAGGCCAGGCCAGGGTTAACAGTATATTGTGGAATATTCCAGCAAATCCATGACAGACATGACACCAGCAGGTGGCCCCCAGGAAAGTTAAACAGTCCACTGTTACAATATTGTGAGGACAGAGCCCAAATAGTGGTCATAGAAACCTTTAAGTATAATATAGTATACTAATAATGAACAAATGGCCTAACAATATTTAAAACTATATATAAATAATGTGGGGTTGTATAATTTTATCATCACAGCCAAAAGGAAAAAGCACTTATAATACCATACACCAAACACTCATCTCCTATATGAAAACTGCCCATTGTCTGTGACGATGGTTAGAGCAAACACAGAAGTATTTGGTTGTTTGCCAGCTCTATTTTTGCACTCAATGTACACAGTGGTTTACAGCAACTTTAGGCCCAGATGGTGGTCCCTCCTACTCCTTTGTTTCATCCTACACTCTCTGAGGCTTTTGTAAACACATGTGATCACACAGCAGATGCTACACAAAAGTACCCCTGAAAACTACTTGTGTACAGTTTTTATATAGAAATAACTGTCAGTGACATGATGGGGCCTGGAAAGACTTGGTAAGTCTCCCAGAGTGCAATAATATAGGGATACTGTGGAGATTAATAACAGAAAGTACAGACTACATGTGCATATAATAATCGTCACACTTTTTTTTGTAACCTCTGATGAAGATTGCATTTTGTTTGCCAATGTTGGTTGTTTTATGGATTACTTTGTGTGAGCAGCTTGTTATGAAATTGCATATTTTATTAAATACATTTTGTTGAAATAAATAATGTTGTGTATTATTTAAAAATAATTTCTTGTTTAGACTATTTACCCCTGACCAAGAAGATTCTCGTCTTGAGATCCACTTTTATTCTCTGGCTCTGTGTGAGTTGTGTGGTTCTCTGTGTCTTTATTTTTATGGTTTTACCTATTTATTTATTGTCTTAATGACTAGAGGAGTTAAAAAGAGCTTTATTTGATATTCCCATTGTATTTTTTTATCTATATTGTGCAGCACTTTAGAAACAGTTTTGTTTATTAAATGTGCTGTATAAATAAAGTGCATTAGAGTCTCCACTCAAGTTTGGGATCTATGTCTTGTGTTGTTGCAAGATAGAGTCAACATCTTGGGGCCTTGCTCTCAACTACCTCAGTCTTAACTCTCTAAAAAATTTCCTTTATAATAAAGTGACACTTAGTAATTATATTAGATTTGCCCTCAGTGACCTAAACTTACCTTTTTACTTCAAAGATGCACTGTGCATTGAAGTTTCCCAAGTTATGTAAATGAGCCACATCTATCTCTGTAATTCAATTTTATGCTCCTCATAAAGTCGGCGGGGGCTTGTGCATGTTTGGTTGCTGTTTAAAACCATTTGAGATCTTGAGTGGCAATAAATCATGTATTGTGAAATCAGCAGATGCTTGGATACGATTAGACTAAACAAAGGCAAAATACCCGCTATGATTTATTCTCTAAAACTGTTTCAGGTCCCGAGGTTACGTTTTAGGCAGCAAACTGTGTGTGTCTGTGTGTTGAGTTAAATAATGGGAGATGATGGGTGGTGTGGTGGTTAAAGTGGGTTGAAAGAGAAAGTGGAGCGGCCGAGAGCTGGTTACCTTGGGAATTTGGCTCGGGCAAAGTCTCTCTGGCAACTAAATGCATCACTGTGGTCTTCCCCAAGGGCAGTTTGAGAGCTGTGGAGAGAAAGAGGTGAGATCTAAGAGTTTTTCAGCAAGCTAAAGCTTTTCAGACAGAGTAATGCATTAGAACATTAGCTTACCTTTAATGTAATATTTATTAGGTAAAGAAAATGTATAGAAAAGGACAATCTCAGAGATATATCATTGCCATTACCAGGTCAATGGAGGACTAAACTAAGTCTAAAATGTTACAATAATTCAGTATTAGAGTACTGAATATTTATGACTTTATTAGATTGAGTCCAGTAATGTCACAAAATTAAAAGGGGATTCTAGTCTCCATGGAGATTTATTGATTTTCTGGATTTTCTATTGATTTCCACAATATGGCACTAATCATGCCTACTTAGAAGTGTTTCTATTCTTGAAAACATAGTTGTTGTGGGGTGGACTTGCCTTTACACAGATCTTACCATAACTTGAACTAGTGGCATCACCTGCTTTCCTCCATGGAGATATACAAGTTTAATGTCATATAGTTTAACATTCTAGGAAAAAGTATTGGCACATGCTGGATAACAAACTGGTGGCAGACCCTCCACTAGAAAAGTTGCATAATGTACGTTGAATTTAAATATATACACTGCACATTATAGTACAGTAGAAGCATCTGTTCACTTGGAGTTATTGATGTGGACATTTGAAACATCTGAAACCACTGACAGAGGAATTATCAAACTGAAACGCAGTAATGGGCAGACTGTAAAGTGGGTTAGGGGCTGCAGTAACTCCATTAACCACAGAAAACCACTGGTCAAATCAAAATCAGGTTACATCAACTAAAAGGCATTAGGAACAGAGAAGAAGAAGAAGAACCCACCCTCCTTTTAAGACAATACAGGCTTTGTTCACTGTCTTTGCAAATCTATGCCATTTACATGGTATAATGTAACACATCTGCTCATCCAACTACTCTGTTTAAACGGAGGAGCTATCGAAATATTACTGATAATATTGCCAGTCTGTAATTTCTATTATAATACATACAAGAATGGGTACCTACCTAACAACAATAATTCTATCACCGCTATCAAATACACATCGATGACAATATGACTAAACACATCATCTTCATTAACAAGGTTAGGGACTGGCATAACCCCAAATTGACAGAGTTCACACACAGCCTGGTTTGGTCCTGGTTTGAGCACAGTTTGAGCCCAGATCCTGATATAGATTTGCTCCTGGTCTAGTCTTGGTCTGGTCCAGGTCTAGGCCAGGTTTAGCTCCAGGTTTCTCTCCAGGTTTAGCCCCAGGTTTAGCCCCAAGTTTAGCCCCAGGTTTAGCCCCAGGTTTAGCCCCAGGTTTAGCCCCAGGTTTAGCCCCAGGTTTAGCCCCAGGTTTAGCCCCAGGTTTATCCCAAAGTTTAGCCCCAGGTTTAGCTCCAGGTTTGGTTCCAATTCTGATGTGAAGTAAGTGCAAGTGTGAATGCACCCTAAGAGGCCTCAAAGCCAAAAGAGAAGAGCACTGCACTAAAGAAACCATCTTTTCTTAAGGCATTCACTCTCTCACTCTATCCCCCCCTGTCCTCTTCCCCCTACCTCCCTCCCTCCCTCCCTCCCGTGTCTGTCTGTCCTGGTCCAAACGCCAGTCTTCACCCCTCTCCTTCCTGACAGTGTCTTTCCTCTCTCTCTCTCCACTTCCTGCCCTCGCTCGTCCTGTCAAAGCAGGTCTGTCCCGGGGCACTGAGGAGCCTCTGTTCAGGGCTGGGGAAAACCATGAGAACAGCACACAGCCCCTTCCAACAACACAGCCCTGTGAATTTAAGCAGAGCGTGAGGATGGGGCATAGACGGGCTTGACTGCGGCTGCTGGGAGGGTGTGTGGTCAAGGCAAAATGTTGTTACGTAAAAATAATATTAAGGTGGTTCAGGTGGAGTCAGCAAAACCACTATTTGTACAAAAACTGTTAAATGTGTAGAATGGGAGAGCCTCCCTTTTGTTTTGAAAGTGTCCAATCACAAAATATATAGCTTCTTTAAAAATGTGCACAATGTAACTTTTCTAGTGGAGAGGTCGCCAACCTTCTTGTCTCTATGGAGATCTTATTGCTTTGACTAGAATTTTCCACACTTCTCAATCTAGACCAGTGATCCCAGCAAGTCACAGGTCTGATCTGTGGAGAGGAGACCCTGCTCACAGAACAATGCTTGTAATACAAATGTAGTGCGAAAATGTAACTACTAACAATAATAAAATTTTTCAGGCTCTTCATAAATGAAATTATAGAATAGTTTAATAAATACAAAACATCCTCTCTGAAAGTACATGAGGGTGTGTGGGCTGACCTCCTAGTGTGACGTTGCCGTGGAGAAAGCGCCCCTGGTAGATGAGCCGTAGGATGTTGGGACTGCTCACCTGCTCCTCCTCCCAGTCTGGAATAAACAGAGACAGGAGGGTCAAAAAAAAGAATTCAAAGTGTACTACAATGGATTAAAAACTTACATGCTTTAAAACAACCATTACACAAATATACAAATTATAGATTTTCATGTTTTCTTCATTCATTTTTGTACTTGCTCATAATAAGATAAAATTGTCTGAGTTTTTCCAAATGATTTTTCATTTCATTCAACAGTTAAACATGCCACATGTCTTGGAATATATATTCAAACAGAGCAGTATCCCACTATTGTCTCAGTTAAGTATTCAATTAAGAAATTGTATGGCTAGTGATCTTAAAAACTCACCAAAATGTGAAACATTAAAACAAAAATTACTACTTTAGTCATCTTTTATTTGCATATTATTCCCAAACGAGATATTGCATTTATACCTTGAGACTTTTTCCTAATTAGTACATGCCAGCTATCTTTATGTCAACATTGCTATAAAGACACTGAAAAATGCTGCTGTGCTGTAAGTGAAGCTGAATCAAATCTGTTAATGCATGGTTTTAGATCACTATAGCAACTGCCTTGGAGGTATTTTTAAGGCTTTTGTTTGTGATTATATGCAAAATATACAACAAGCGGTTTTCGTGGGACGTCTTTGGGAATGTGAGGAGGAGTGCAGCATTAGGTGTGGCTGGGAAGAAGTAAAGACAAGGCCATAAATGAGAGGGAGCCTGGAGTCCAGATGTGTCTACAGTCAGTGGAGGGTGTCACTGTGTATGCTGAGACCGGGGCTGACCGAGTTCACATGTGCAAAGGGCCACAGGAACAAAAAACTAAAGATTAATCCAAGAAGCACACAATAATATCTCAACTGTGAGCTATAGCCAGGTCATCCAAGTAGAACTGAATATCAACATTTCAAACTTAATTTACTAAAAATAGATTCTGACACAACAATGACAATGGACTTTTTTTTTTATACAACAAAATACATTTTAACACTTTATATTAGCAGTATTAATATGTAGTGCTCTGATACAGATCAAGAGATAACATTTTTTTAAACTATTCAGTAAAGGTTTAATGTCGTCCTAATGATGTAATTTTTTCCAGTACCTATATTTGTTCCAATGAGTATCTAGTTTTGATACTAGTTTATTATCATTTATTTAGGTTCAGATTTTTTAGACAATCCTTCTAGCAAAAAAAATTGTGAATAATCAGATTTAGATTGTTGTTAAATGCTAAGACTTAAATTTTCTAATGTCTTCTAAAAATATATTTTCTACTATTTCAATAGCATATTCATAATTTCCCAGTCAAGCACAAATGTAAGAAATGTCAATGATGAAAGTAGTCTCTTTGCTTGTGTAGCTCCATCAAGGACAAATATGTTATTCTGGTAATGACCATCTAATTTTCAATTGATCAATTTGATGTATGAAAAAAATTTCAAACTATGACCTAACCCTAACCCTCAAGTAATAATAAAATATTACTATTAATATTATTAGTTGTCCTAATTATCATGGTATGATTTACCAATCATGTCATTTATTTCCGTTATTATTTATGTTCTTTGTTCTCCGATTCCTGCATGTTTTACAATTGTGGCTGTATTAGATGCATGTGCACATATATAAGACGGCGCTGGTGTGTGGAGGTTTAAAGGTGTGGCTGTTGAGGTCAGAGCTAGATCAAATGCACTGTGCTTTGGGAGTGGGCGTTGGACTGATCCGAGGTGGATGGGCTGCGATACATTCTTGTGCTCAGTGATAATCGAAAGGAGAAAGGCTAATTATCCACGCCAAAGACTTTCCCACAATGCACTGCAGTCCTATATAAGTAATTAGTAGAGCGCTGAATGTGATCTGTGGAACTACAATACATGGAGCTCCCTCAATGACTTGAAAAAAAGAAAAGTGGAATCATTTGTAATGTGGAAAACAGGGATTTCTATCAGCATATTGTTGCTGGAGTTGAGTAAAAATGTACCTTCAACTATCTGTAGTCTGATATTGCAATGCTTACAGTGACTAACACTACTTTAACACTACTTTAAAAAGTAGATATAATATTGAACCTACAATGCAACTTAACCCCAAACAAAGATAACCCAGTAAACTCTGAAAGCCCTGAATAATGGCCTACAAATAGAGATAGCACAGAGGTAAAAGTGCCCTATAGCACCTAAGCATATCGATATATTTCACCATAGTTACCAATAATAAAAAATTGTTCTATGTCATACCATCTTGAAACAAGAAAATTTTAAGGCTACTACTATCACTATTATCACATCAATACGAGCATAAAGCTGTTATGATTATGCAATGAAAAACACTCTTTCTTTATCTTTAGACAATAGAATTAATTAATCATAGTACTAGAATTAAATCATAGTACTTTGTTTTACATTACCATGTGGTTTTATATCTGTTTAATCCCTCAGTCATCAAGGTTTCATAGTCCATGTGGTCTTATACTTCTTCTGATACAGCTTGAAGATTTTAAAAGGAAAAGTTCATTTCTGTTCTGTAAATTTGAATTTGCGTGTCGATACATGCTTCAATTAGTATCTAGTTTCAATATGAGTTTTGGTATTGATTAGTATCTGATTTTCAATACCAAGTACCAGTGTTACATATGCTGCAGATTGTGGGAAGATCAGTGAACTGCGAAGCAAATTTAGACAAAGCCACAAACCAGAAGATAGTAAATGTTTGAATGTAACACAGAACAGTTGCAATGAAAAAAATCAGATTAAATAAAATCTGTAAGTTCTTATATGGATTTATGATGTGTACATTTGGATGAGGTTTTCAGTTACAGCATACACTGCAGATGTAGTTTGTGACTCGTAGTAATGTGAAATCAAATTTAACATAGCATGACTGTTGCAGCATTTTACATAATGTACTGGCTTTGGGCAGACCAGAAACACCCAGCCCTTTGAGACACTGTGAGCTCAGGCTACAAACACAGACAGCTGCAACTTGATTAAAAACATTCAAACATCCGTCTACTGCTTATCCAAGACTGTCAGGGGCAGCAGACGCTCTTCCCTCTCCCCAGTCACTTCCTCCAACAGATCCAAGGGAATTAAAAGGCATTTCCAGGCCAATATCCCTACAGCAGTCTGTTTAAATGCTATATTTTAAATATTTTTTAAAACTTTTATTTAAAGTTGTAAAATGACTTTGGGTGCATCCAGTTTAGTCCTGATGTAGGCATAGATTTGTCCTATTCATGTCCTGAGTCCAAGTTTAGTTCATGGCCTCGGATCTTAGAGAACTTTTGGTCATAAAAGTTCATGACTATTGGTGAAAGAAGAAACAAAGCGGTCTTAGTTCCGATGTATTATGAAGTTATTCAGGAAAAGTCAGATATATATGTTACATATGTTTTAGAGACTGTTTACAATCCAGAGGAACTGATGGCCAACAAGATCTGATGATACTTTTGGGCCGATATGTAGGGCAGATTTTTACTATATTCCAGAAATTCATTCATTCAGTCATTTTAATTTATTACAAACTCACCCACAACCCTTTTTTTACAACAAACCTTTAATCTTTGCACTAAGGTGTTTAAAAAAAAACAAAAACAACTTTTATACATAGTCTTCAGGCAGCTGTTATGGCCAATAGCTGATTTGCAAAAAAACTGTAAGTATCGGCCCGATATACACTGATATAATGAATATGTTTTCTCGTGTCAAACGCTCATACTATATTAGCTGATTTGAGTTGAGTATTGAGTAGTTGTTATACCACAGTTGTTACGATCATTTTAGTATTTTGAGAAATTCAGAACATATTAAGATGGTAGAGAGAAAAAAGCATATCTTTAGTCCATCCCAGACCATTTTCCATACAGTGCTCTTAGCCTCTAGATTTATGAATCAAACTAGTGACCAGTACATGCTCTGTTTGCCCCTGTCGTATGTAAGTGCGAACTCACCCATGGGCCAGTGGTCGTACACATGCTTTGCAATGTCTGCTGCCGAGTGGTTCGGAGAGAAGAGGAACTCTTTCGTTTTACCGCTGACCAAAATGAGCCTCAGGTTTATCTGTAACACAAATACACAGAGTACACATAAGAGCAGAGCAAACAACACAGAGGGACATAAGACTTTTCATTTAAAAGCAGGAAGCACGGGCAAGTAGAGTGTAATTTAATATGGAACATGGACTGCACATCCGGATAGTTTCAAGTCTGTCCAATATCCTGACGCCTCTTTAGTAAGAATTTTCCACCTCTTACATCTAACTGTTTGAAAATGCACCTCATTGTTTTATGTTATGGGTGGAGGAATATTTCTGAACAAGTAAAACTATGTATAACATTTAACCCAACAAAGTAATTACCAGAGTAAAACTGATGTCCTGGTATAACAATAGTTTCAGTTGTAGTCGCCCTAAATGACTTGATTTTTGCACCCAAACTAGATGGAAATAAGTTGGAGACCTGAACATTTAAATGCAAAATATATGCTCTGTTATGAGAAGGTCACACCTAAAGCATAGGTTTTGTTCAAAGTTTATTTTATTTTTTATCTTATACTACATGAATAGGAGAAAGTGTTTGTTTATGCTATAAAATGTAAGTACTGAAGTAGATTTGTATATATTGAGTGTTAAACTGAGGAAACAGCTAATTAAAAGTGAAAGTTGTTAGTGGATGTAAATACATTTGCCTTTAAGCATACTATGATTTTCAAGTTTAAAAAAGACCCATTAAACCAGGCTTAAACAAAAACACTGACACTGGTGAATGCTTAATTAATTCTCACTGTTCATAATTTAAGCTAATTTGTAGTTCTGAACATGTTGAACTCTTTTAAATCACTGCAATAATAAAGAGCTGAGCAAACAACTTGAGTTTATATAGTATGCTAAACATTTTCAGGAGCACTTTTATTTTTGACAATAATAGATCTACAGAAATGTTTATGTACTGCAGTGAAAATGTATACTTTAAATAATTACACTCAGCATGATGTCTTGTCCAAATAAAAAAACATTGTGAAAAGGTAGAAAATAACCGCAATTAAAATAAAACAGGTGTAAACAGGGTTAGTGCTAGACTAAAGATTGGTAAATGTCAAATCCAAATAAAACCAAAACATTAAAATTAAAAGCTGAACTAACACAACAGGCCCATGGTCCATGCACCGCCGCTTGAGAAGCCCTCCTCTCCCATAGTCGCTCCACAGTGAGTCTTTAAGCCTGGGAGCAGGAGAGGTCTGTCTGGGGCGTGTTTGTTTTAGTCGACTGTATGCGCCGAGCTGGGAGCTGCAGCGAGCGCGTGGCACTAGCACGTGTGTGTCACTGTGGCCTCTCCCATGTGCCCACCCGCCCCCCTCGCTCCGCACATGAAAACACATGCACAGCAAAAAGTGATTAGGCTAATATGACTTGGATTGAGATGGTCAATATAGAGTTGAGTTTTCTTTATTATACAGTTAAGATGGACTATTAATTGATATTAATTTATATAATTTTTATGAGAATCATAAACAATACTTACAGTAGGATAGTTTTGGGTAAATTTTTATGCCCTGTTTGATATGTAATCATTTTTTATTACACATTTATTTTTATTTTAATCACTAAGATACTAAAGGTTCTGCTTTTTTTTCCCCACTGATAAATAATTTATCTTGAACAATAACAATACAAAACACCAGTAAAAAATGTTAAATCAGTCAAATATGAATATATTAATTAATTAGTCAAAATGTATAATCTGTCATTTAGTTAACTTATTTTTTTGCAGTACATTAACTATTTAAATGATGTAACCGTGGTAACACACAGGATTGAGACACAGAGCGGCCTAAGAACATTATCGCATCAGCTTATAGTTTTAAACCAGTGTAAAGCCACATTCACACACACACACATGCACACACAAACACACGCACACACACATGCATGCGCACAAAGACACACACACACACGCAGAGGCCCACAGTAATGTGCTATCAACAACATGGAGCTCAGGGTGAAAGGCCCGGACTGACCCTGGACTTTGCTCACAGCAGACAACAACAGGCAGAGCACAGGATCAGATTCAGCAGATAAGGCTTAACTAAACTACTATGGAAACGCTTGTTATTTACATCAGTATATCATGGTTGTATTTCTATAGCACTTTTCTACCTCCAGTGCACTCAAAGCAATTTACATCTACTCACCTCATACACCAGTATACGCAAACCAACTCAGCCACAGCCACCCATATGGTATAATAAGAAGAACATGAGACATAATTTAACCCACTATCCAAAGAAGAAAGGAATTTAGTTTAATTGGAATGATCAGGCAAAGGAATGAGAATTAAATTAATTGGAAATTTTGTGTATAATATACATGACAGAACAAACAAACTGTTCCAAAATCGTCTTCCAATAATCTTAGTCACAGAGCCTACATGCAACTCAAAAATTGTGAACCCTAAGAGAGGTTTGGGGGGATGGGGAAGAGGTCTATTATTAATTAGTTTAGCTCTAAAACTTGCAAATAAAAACTGCTAACTGGTAACACAATAACCACATGCTTGCAAATATATGGCACTTCTGGCACCTACTTTTTATCTAGTGTGTTTCTTTTTATTGTCATGTTATATGTGCAAAATAAATAAATAAATAAATAAGCAAGTCAATGTTTTTCAGAAAAATCACAGTTGGATTAGTTTTCACAAAATTGTGCAGCTCTATTACTAAGGATTTCTTCTTTTATATAAAACGCGGAGAAGACACATACTCCAAAGTAAAAGAACAGTTAAAGTTGTTGTGCATGGCAGAATTTTATTCCTACTATCTGAAAAGAACCATTTGAAGACGGATTGATTTTACTCTTAAACGTTAATCTAACACCTAAAGAAGCAACAAGGGAGGTTTGGGAATCTCACAGCAGGTTGCCTCCAGTAAGCTTAAAAAGATAAAAAGTAAAAACCGCAAGTGTGATTTAGAAGTTGTTGTGTCTTTTGTCTGGGGGTACAAGGAGATAGACTGAAAATGTCTTCTTTAAATGCAGTTTCTCCAGGCATTCAGAATCAGGCTTTTACAACTACAGGATATATTTAACTTAAATATAACTTCAAAGATTAAATGCAATCAGTTTTTATGGACCTTCTAATCAAAGAGAAGGCCTCCAGTTCAGATTACTGGATAGGATAAGGATTAACTTCTCAAATGCAATAGTAAAATTTAACGTTTGTATGGCTATATAAAGTCTACAGTGAAAATTATGCCACAGCCATAAGAAAATGTTGTATCTTTTTAATCCCATACAAGACAGTGGCTACTTCGTTGGTCAACAATTTTTTTTATGACATTTTAACCAATATGTCAAACAAATTCAAACTGGCGTGATCTTTAGCATTTGAACTCACTTAATAAATATAATTTTCTGACTGCAATAATGAACACACACAGACAGATCCCCCTGACGGATCTTCCTGTAGTAGCACACACACACACACATACACACACCTGTCTGTTTCCATGGTGTCTCTATGGTGACAGCCGGAGGTGGGAGGTTTCACCCAATAACACCTACGACATCATCTCACCCCCCACCACCCCATCCCTCACACCCATCTCCCCCTGGTCTGATCTGAGCCTATAGCACCCAGTGGAGGAATGTACCAGGCAGGAATAACAAGGAGATGTGTGGAATTCAATCAAATCAAAGTATGTTTTTACGTTAAGGTGCACTGTGTAACTTTTCAGGTGGGTGGTTCAACTGCTGCGTGTCTCCATGGAGATGTCATTGCTTTGCTTGGAATGTGAATATGTGGAAAGACAATCCAGCTCCAGTAAGATTGGCACTAAAGGCAATAAAAGCAACTTTATTGAATAAATGCAAGGTAGATAAGCTTAATGTACCATACTTTGGTACTTTCCAGATAAAGTAATAACATCTCCATGCAACAAGTAGTGACAATTAGATTAGAAGATTTGTCATTTGTATTGCTAACTACCACAGCAGCCCGTCTCAAGAGAAAGAAGAAAAAAAACACACAAAAAAAATTGTAATTAGTGACAGCTAGTGCAAAATAATGTAATTTGAATACAAAAATAAAATGGGCTTGTATGGCAACAAAGCAGTAATCAAATGTCAGGAGTTTATTAACCTAATTTAAATAGAAGTCCAGTAAATAGTAATGTCATTATATTTGAATTTCACCATTAACCTGTTTACCTAAGTGGGGAGTGTCTTAAGATGATTTAATACTATCTCTTAAACATTGATCATAGAAAGCTATTTGTTATTTATTAACAAATAAATAGCCGTTTCAGATATGGTTCAAATTGGGCATTGCTCAAACTAAAGGCTAGTTATCTGGCTAGACACACATAACACATAACGATCACCCTACATAAGACATAGTAATCTTTTGACATACAGCTTTAGTTCAAGTGGGTTTCTTTTATGGGACTTTGGGATTTTCCAGCTTGTAAAACCTTGGGCCAGTAAAAGACATTTTGTGCAAGAAGTGTAAAAACTGAGGAGAATGTGGGAACTTAGAATATTGCTATTTCTGGTCCTTTTTGAAAGACTAATATAACCAAATATGTAATAATAATATCAAACGTAGTGCTTTTATCGATACATTTATTCATAAAAATGACTATTACATGTGATTTTTGCAGATCGAGTAAAATGGGCTTTGAGCAATTTCTAAAAGATTTTTTTCATGCTGTATTCAGTCGCTCTAATCATTGAGAACTAGCGGTTTCTTTTCAATATAAGGAGACAGAAAGTGTTTTTCCCATTATTACAGAGATAAGCGCTCATCTAATTGCTCCTATTAACATCCATGGAGATCTTTGCTTTTTCATACGAGGTGCTCTCTTCTTTGTGTTGGCACTAAAGGCTCTTATTGTCTACTGTTTTCATTGCCTGCATCCGCTGCATGACTTTAACTCAATCAGACCACCCTTCCCCTCCCCCACTCCCCAGGGCTAGAACCAGCGCCCCCACGCCACACACAGGGGCTGGTAATGTGTATCTGCTATGGTGCAAACAGAGAAGCATATAGTGCAGCATAATGTCTGTG